CGTTTGAACAGAGCACTAGGAAATGTAGGTGGGAATGTTATGATGGTCAAGCTAAGTTCTTGGATGAACTGAAGGGGAGGCAAGTAATTGCACGGAAGAGGGGATACGGACCTGACTACGTCAACCTATTAATTAAACATCACAAAGAAAAGATGCGTGAGTTTGTTAGACAGGGCGATATTTGTAACCTGATCGATGTTGGGCTTGACAAATGGGGATTAGAGAGACGAATGACATTAGAGGAGGAGAGGACAAGGAAGGAGGCATGGGAGGAGACAATAGTACATATGCAGGTCTTGAACGAGCATGTTGTTGCATTATTTGCCAGTGAGTGCTTGAAAGTCTTTTTTTTCGTTGTCTGATTTTAAATGAAATATAACCGCGTTGCTAAATGATTGTATTTTATACATGTAGGGATTGGATGCAGCGAGGAACATGCCGCAGAGGTGGCTCATGCAAGGAATGAGGAAAAGAAGTTAGATGAGCACAAATCGTGAGCTGGTCGCACCGTTCAATCACCGATTGTGTTGTCTGATGAGGGGGACGAGGATGAGGACGACACTGGCAGACTGAGTGAGGTCATCGCTCTAGCAGAGGCGGGCTTACAGGTGGAGGAGGCTAAGGACGACACTGGCAGACTGAGCGAGCTCATCGCTCTAGCAGAGGCAGGCTTGCAGGTGGAGGAGGCTGAGGACGACACTGGCAGACTGAGCGAGCTTATCACTTTAGCAGAGGCGGGCTTGCAGGCAAAGGAGGATGACGACGCGTTCTTCACTCAGGCCGCCGAGGCTGCAGATGAAGCGGAGGCCGCTTACGATAGGTGATAGGCAGGTCAGAGCAATGCAAGTGAGCCTAGCCACAACAACAGGGTTGTGGTAGTGGACTGGTACTCAGATGATGAGTTGCTTACTTAGTATATTTTAGACTGAGGATTTGAAAGTGCATTTGGCCCCTATGTGGGTTTTGGTGTATTGATGACATCCAAATTAGGGACTAATGTGATCTTAGTGAGATATGTTGCAGCTATTACTCATTATGTGCTCTCCAATGGTTTTATTTTTGTTTTTGAGTTTAGGATCCGCCGCACTATAAAGAGGGATGCAAACTTAGTTGGTCTGAGGAAGATATAGTGCTCAAGCATAAACATAAAATCAAAAGAGAGACACTCTAGCACTCCACGAGCACGTAGAATATTTTTCAGTGACTGTTGGTGTCGGAAGTCCCGACGTAAGCCGGAACTCCCGACAGTCGAAAGTCACGACTCATGCCGGAAGTCCTGACGCCTAGTCACTTAGCCTGCGCAGTGATTGTGGCCGTCGGAAGTCCCGACGTGAGTCAGAACTTCCGACAATCGGAAGTCCCAACCCAAGTCTGTACGATACGATTGGACTATACACGTTCTAATGAATTTATATTTAATCTGTGTACTAGATTTGTACCTTTTCAACACACAAAACACATGAAATGGCATATGAGATCATGTACCAAACTAGGGTACAGAATTTCTTTGACTAAACCTAACATGCCTTAGGTAATTAAACCAAACAACAAACATATAGATGTGCCATGTGAATAAGATAAAGTCGTCCTAGTAGTGTGGCCACTTAGCAAATTGTGTTGGACCTTCTCTAAAGTAGCCTCCCATTGTTGGTGGTGGCGGTGGCGGGGGTGGCGGCGGAGGACCCTTGTTCTTGTGATTAGGGCAGGTGCAACATGGATGATTGCAGAGTGCCTCCTGTGAATCGGCACCGTTGTTGTTGTCGACCTATCCATCGTCCTTGTAACCGCTGCTAACTTCCCTTTCTAGATCAAAGATACGGTCCTATAGGTAGTATATGTACTCTACATGCAGATAAATAGGTCGAGGATCGACCCACCTAGTGAACCTATAGTTTTCTTCGGCCAAGGAAGACTGCAATAAGTATGCCATGTAAGTTGTATAGATGAGGAACATATTGAAGAACCAAATACTAATAGGAAGTACCCATGCTCGCGGGCATTTGAAGAAACGACGACCTCCATCTATTCCCTCGATGAACATCTGCACTAGGCAGTCCTCACCATGCATGCATTTTTGCCACTCTTCTTTCCGTTCATCGTATCCTCTCAGTGGTGCCTCTTTGGTGAAATCGCTTTTGCTCTCAACTGGGAACCTCTCATAAAGAGCTTTCTCAAAGAAATCAGGACCAAGAGGACCCTCCCACCTAATAGTTGTTCCCTTCCCCTTTCCTCTCCCTCTAGATGACCCTCCAGACATTGGTACTGTAACGAAAGAAAATGCTGAGGAGTGCTCTTCTTCCTTGTTTTGTGTGTGAATGAGAGGGAGTGAGGGGTTATTTATAGATTGAGAGGAGGAATGGAGGCCTCTCAATGTGCCATGTCAGCGATCCGTGTGCCTCTTCACCTCAGAGCTTGGATCAAACAGTCATAAGATGGATGGTAGAGATGGAGTGGAGTTGTGCTTCCTTGCATGCCAGTACTATGTCAGCTCATGGTCAGCACAATTGTGTGGCCCGACAACTTTTGTGATCTTCCACTTTCTGGTGACCTTTTGCTTCCTTGCACAAACCCTCCATGGGCAGCGTTCCTTGTCACACACAACTGTGTAACGATGCTCCGCATATGAATGCAAGACCTTGTAAGGTCTCTTTCGTATCACTACAAACGCCTGCAACCACCTCTTCAATGCAGGGAGGTCCTTGAACACCCTCCCACTCTTAATTACCATGTTAGGGTCGGCCTCAGGAGCTTCTAGGAGCTCATCATCATGTCCTTCTACACACGCCTGACCGGAATGAGCAAGATCACTAAACTCGTGAACTCTTGGATCACGGCGGCCAGGAAAGATACGCCTCAACATCTCAACATCACTCTCCGTCAGCTCTCCAACAGGGCGATCATCATCAGAATCAAGAGTCCTTGCCATCTCATATGGCTCCGAATCATTCATAATTTCAACACTATTAGAGCCACGGAATCCATCTCCACAGTGCACTTGCGCAGCAACAGGGGGCACATCAATATTCTCAGGAATGTCTCCAGCAACATAAGCAGAGAAATGAGGAAAGAATAAAAGGAATAGATGTAAGGAAGGGGGTAAGCTCCCAATAACCATACGGTTAAGACACTTACTCTTATGATTCTGTGTCAAAGGGATCTTATGAGGAGGATCTACCACAACAATATGAGTCTGATAAGCATCTCTAGCTACCGCATTGGGGGCAGATTGAGCATCAGGAACCGTAGGTGCAACCTTCACATCCATATCAGGTTTCAGGATGGGAGGGTCGATGTGTGCCTGCTGACCCATTGGTGGGGAAAACCCATGAGGGATGGGATCAACTAACACCCGACACACAACCACGTCCAAATATTACAGCTGGCTCTTAATAGCTGATCTCACATAGTTCTCCCACTGATCCGCACAACCAATTGTGATCATTCGCCTGAGAATGTTGGGAGGAGAACATAGGTGCAGTACACCCTCAACTGCAATGCCATCATCTCCAAAGCAATGCAGCTTCTGCCGAGCCCTTGCAACCATCTCACTAAATGAAGGCCTATCATTGAATAGCACAGGCACGCTTTGCATGTCAACAAACTCAACATATCCATAGCAATCGTATTCAACGGTGTCTCCATGATATATGGTCACTAGGTTGTCCATCTAGTTCAAACACATAATGAAACACATGTCCTTTAGTCCAAATTAGACGATACATAGTATCTAACAAGTACTTTCTAACAGCAAACTAAGTAAATAAGATAACAACTACATACATAGATACATTATACTAACTAAATAGCTAGATCCTATTTAGTTAACTAAATATGTAACTACCTATCTAAGTAGCTATCTAACTATATCTATGTACCTATGTATCTATGTTTCTATCTATCTACATATATATCTCACTAGATCACTAACTAAATCAACTACCTGAGTCATCACATTAACTAGTAAATAACAAATACCAAAACTACTACACTACAATTAAAGCTAACTAAGTACGCACATTGTAAATTCACAATTTTTACCTGTCCGACGACGGAGTCGCGGACGTCGACGGAGTCGCAGCGGACGCCGAGAGTGGGTCAGGCCGACGAGCCGGGCCGGCGGTGGCACGGCCGACCGCTGCAGGTGCCGGGGCTGGCGGGGGCGCGACCGACAATGGCGGTGGCTGGTGACAGGCGCGGGATGCCCGGTGCTCCGCGCGGCGAGGCCGGCTCGGCGGTGGCGGGCGGCACGGCCAGCGCGCCCTAGGCCGGCGGTGGCGGGCGGCACGGTCACAGTACAGGCACGGTGGGGTGCGGCCAAGGCGGGCTCCGGCAGCACGTCGGACGAGGCGAGGGCGCGGCGCGGGCGCAGGGACCGGCGAGGGGACCGGGGCGAAGGCGCAGGGGCGCGGCGCAGCCGCGGTGGCGGCGCGGCGCGGGCACATGCGCGGCAGTCCTGCGTGGCCTCGGGGCACGGCGTCCGGGCGCGGGGAGCGGCGAGGCGCGTGCGCAGGCGAGGGCGAGGCTGCGCGGGCTCGGGCGGCCGGTGAGGGGAGAGGGCGTGGGCGGCGGCGACGGTGCTCTGCTCGGGTGAGGGAGATAAGAGAGAGAGGGGGGGAGAGGAAGAGAGAAAGGATTGGGGCCCATACGTAAGAAAAGGCTCGGCGCCAGTCACCCTGGCGCCAAGCTCGGCGCCAAGATCTACGGCGCCGAGCTTGGCCCCAGGGTGACTACCGCCGAGCGTCCTGCCATGTCACCGTCAAGTTTGTTTCGAGCCCAAGAGCTCGGCGCCACGTGTTAGCTCGGCGCCAGCAACTATGGCGCCGAGCTAATGGTTCAGATTCTGAAATCTTTCCTCCAGAGATATATTTGTGAATTTTTTTTAAAAAAAAAAGCTAAAAAATAAAAAATTTGGTCCAGACCCCACGATCCCAACGACCCGCGCCGCCAGTGGAAGCTGAACTCACCGAGGAAGCCAACGCTGCTGCAATCCTCATTCCTCAATGGCGGCGGTGCCCTACGGAGCTCCCCCTCTCCACCAGGCGCCGGCGCCATTGGCGGTGGTGTCCCCGCTGTTCTGTGCGCCGTACGCGGTGCCGCTGACGGTGACCAAGAAGGCCATCAGCCGCTCTGGTCGAGACTTCGTCGTCACCGACGCCAACGGCGCTGAAATGCTCCGCGTCAACGGTGCCATCTTCAGCGTCCACGACCGCCGCGTCCTGCTCGACACCGCCGGCCAGCCCCTCCTCTCCATGCGGGAGAAGGTAATTTATAGACAAAACACACTGATGACCGCCTTTATTTGATGATTTTCTTTCTTTCTTTCATTTGTGGTCTCGTTGTTTCGATCAGATCGTGTTCAGTTGGATCCATCATTGACTTTGAATACTTTGATCCTGTGCAACTTGAGCCATCGAACAATATAGTAGTGGCTTACTATATATATCAATAACGACGACTCTTTCCAATCTGAATTCTGCAACAAATAATCATGGTAGCTTAGCTAATGTTGACAGCTTGAAAATATTTAAACTACTGTCAACTCTTCTTGTTTCCACCCATTTTACATATCAAATACTTCTGATATTCAGTTTCATCAAAAATACTTCTGATATTCCAACAAACATAAAGAAACCAATATATGTCAGTATATATGCTTCAGTAAGTAGGGTGTGGAACGAATGAAGCATCACCACCTAACATTGGTGCATCTTCAGGCAATTAGTATGCACAATAGATGGGAAGTTTTCAGAGGGGACAGCACGAACGCAAGCGATTTGCTCTTTACAGCCAAGAAAGCTTCAATCTTTCAACTGAAGCCCGAGGTGGATGTCTTTCTGGCTGGGAACAGCGAACAACAAGGATGTGATTTTAAGATCAGGGGTAGCTACATCGAGAGATCATGCAGCTTCTGTCTCGGCAATTCGGACACCATGGTTGCTCAAGTGACTGCCAAATATCATTTCGAAGATTTTGCAATTAACAAGCATCTTTGGAGCTCCATTAACATGATCTGTATTTTACTTTGGTGCTGCAGATAAACCGCAAGTATACAGCCACGAACATACTTCTGGGAAAGGACACCTTTGTTGTTACCGTGTTCCCGCATGTTGACTATGTGTTCATCACGGCTGTCATTGTGATTCTAGATGAGATTCATAGGGAACGGTTCGATGGAACAACAATATTCGATGTCGTCACTGACATGTAAAACTTTTATTTGTTTATTGGGTAGTTTATCATCATGTTCATCCCCGATTCATAAACAATTGGGCCTTCTGTTGGATCAAAAGTAGACAGCTTGTTTGTCACTCCATGAGCTCGAGAGTGTTATATGGCAGGTTGCCCTTTTATGGGAAAAATTCCTGTGATTGTTGTGAGCAGATATTATGACCTTGAAACCTGATGTAGTTTGCAATGCTAGTTGCATGTTCATATATCCTTGTCGATTTGTGCTAGTGTTATTTGTTGTAGCAATGGTGCTACAAAGCTGTATTCGGGATTTCTTCCCAATCTTTAAGAAAAAACAGCCGGTGTGAACCCTTTCAACAAACTTCTTCTCCAACATCTCCTCGATTAGCATCCATCATTTTATCATTCATCACCATCACAATAGAAAAAGGCATAACTGATGCCATATCCATCGTTAATCCAGTCCACGCGTTTACGATTATAAAACATCTGGTCTATGTAAACCTTCTACCTCCACCACCTATAGTTTTCCAAAGCCCAAGGCAACAACTCCGATCACGGTAGTCCCAGTTCATAAACTATGACATACTTTTTTAAAATTGACGAGTCACACGTAGACACTACATGCCTAAAAATTTAAAAACCATATTCTGATTGAAGGTTCCCTGCTACCATATCTACCTATCACACCTCTCCGTATCTTGGATCCGTATCTTGTCTAAGAAACTATTTCTTCATTTATCTTCCTTCATTCTAATAACATGTCACCATTTATATTAGTTTACACCTTAATTAATGAACATACAAACCATCCTAATTTCTGGATTGAACTGCCCTACAGATACTGTCAATGTCGAAGCACTATTGGAACATAGCTAGCAGTCGTCTATTGCATAAATTATTTCTCCGCCTTGAAATATTGTGTACTCAATGGAAAGCATATGTAAAGTGCTGAACAAGATTATGCAAAAATCCCAGTAGAATAACTCACCGGATGTTTTGATCGCCTTCCATACACCCCTAGAAGCATATTATTCCAAAGAGGCCCTTCGCTTAATTGGTAGGAATATAGCTATTTTGGTCGTACGAAAGGAACATGCGTGTGAGGATAAGAATTTGAATATTGGCTTATATCTCCAAACACCACCGAACCCACACTAAACATTATTCAAAATTATCATTCGGCAGGCTACGTCAATTCGGAACTTACATGGTAAAACACTATTAGAAAGCATGGATTTGTTTACAGTATACCCTGATGTTTGGTGGCCAAACCGGCCACAGCAGCGCAAGCAGAATATGTATGTCTCCTTTTATACTGAAAGGCCCTCGAAATTTCAGTCTACCGCGTGCCAGCTTCCCCTTCTGTTTATATTTTAAACTGAGGCCGACCCCAACCCAACGGCCCTGGTGAAGATAACATTGGATTAGAACTTGGGAGATAGAGGTGTCTTGCGGTATACCCGCCACAAAGCTGCCACTGCTACTGCTAGGCTAGGACAGACGCATGCCGCCGGAACTCACCGATCGACCAAGAGCGAGCGCTGCTGCACCGGCCGGCGTAGCGGCAATCCCCAATGGCGGCGTCCTACGGAGTTTCCCCAATGCGTGGGCAGAGAGGGAGACAGAGACGGAAAGGGAGCGTGGGGAGGCGTATTTCTTCTGAAGGGCCGCCTGACAGGTTGGGCCGGATGCTAGCGTGGCCGCGGCTGCCACGCTGGAACTCCACGTCCGCAAAACCGGCCACCCAAACCACCCCAGGGGTTAAATCAGATGGTTTGGCAAAGTTTAAAGTGCTAAACATCCGGTTTTGTAGGTGGGGGGATTAAGTACACCAGGTCCAATAGTTCAGGGGGTTATTTAGACTTTTTCCTGTAATTAATAGAAGGCCTATGCTTTGAGAACAAAACAAGCTTCACAGAAGAACAGAGATTACATAAGTATTCAAGTCAACGATAATTACCATGTTCAGTCTGAATTTAGTGACCTAAAATAAAAATGTTGGCATCACGTAATAAGGTGCACTAGTCTTACAAATGTTAGTTTGAAGTGGAAATACAAAAAAATGAAGCTGTTGTTCAAAGCTTGAAAATATTTAAATGTTGTTATCATGTATTTAGTATGCGCAATAGATGAGAAGTGTTAAGAGGGGACAGCACAAACGCAAGCGATTTGCTCTTCACAGTGAAGAAAGCTTCAATCTTCCAACTGAAGACAGAGGTGGATGTTTTTCTGGCCAGGAACAGTGCACAACAAGTATGTGATTTCAAGATCAAGGGTAGCTACTTCGAGAGATCGTGCGGCTTTTATCTTGGCAATTCAGACACCATGATTGCTCAAGTGAGTGCAAAATCTCGTTTGAAAGGTTTTCTAATTAATAAGCGTCTTTGAAGCTCTATAAATATTTAATTTGATTTGGTGCTGCAGATAAACTGCAATTACACAGCCACCAACATACTGCTGGGAAAGGACACCTTTGTTGTTACCGTGTTCCCACATGTTGACTATGTGTTCATCGCAGCTCTTGTTGTGATTTTGGATGAGATTCATAGGGAACGATTTGACTGACAACCACTCCAATCCCAAGCCGATCGAGTTCGACGACCACAATATCTGTTCTTTCGTCACCAATGTTGTTATTGTTATGTGATTTATTGTTGTTTCTTCATGGATGTGCCATAGCATGTGTTTCGTTAAGAGTAAGAGAGTTACACGACTCCGTAGCAAACCAAAGTAACAATAAAAAGAAAGAGCAGTGATGGGGAAGGACCCACAACCCTGTTGGTATAAATTAACGCACGGCATGCTTACACTACGAATACTACTTTAATCCAGGAGCTACAAGGATTAAAGTAATGAAAAGAGTCGCAAACCTGAAGAACAATATGAAGAAGATGCTTACTTGAATTAGAAGTCGATTACCAAAGAAATCTCAGAAGCAAACTCAAGAGGATCTTGATTCTGTCAGGGTAAAAATCGTAGAGAGAGCACGATAGGCCGGTACTTCCTCCAAACTCTTCCCTCTCACTATATCTCCCTATATCTAATACAAGACTAGATCCTATCGAGGACTAATCTTCTCTTGATTGCTAACTTTAATCCTAGTGGACATATGAATTAGGGTTTCTTGCCCTCAGGCTCTTAGGATATAATGCATTAAGCAAAATATATCTCTCCTAGAGGGGGGTACAGGCAGGTATATATAGGCCCCTTGAAGCATCCTGGACCCTCAGATCAAACCAACTTAAATGGATGGCATAGATGTGATCCTTGAGGCGATGGAGAACTGACATAGCAACGCGGAGGCTGACGGCGGGGCCCATAGACCGGCCGGCCTACAAGTGGGACCAGTCGGCCCCACATGGTAGGGGCTCAGGCTCCACTTCGGTGGAGAGCCTCCTAGAGTCTTTCCACGTTGTTTATGCTACGGAATTACACGATTTCCTTTGACGAATATGTCCTCCTTGGTGGTTTTCTGATTAAATCCTACTGAAAACATAGATTCACCAAAGCTCGTAGAATTTGTTAGTTAAAACCCCTAAGTCTATGTTGGTGTTCCATTTTAATCATTTATGTAAGGTATATTGATGTTTTGTGATGAATGTTAACTATCGTCAACAAACTCCCCTACACTTAGGCTTTTACTTGTCCTCGATAAAGGGATGGATTACTCTAGACATAACCTTAGAACAAGCCATCAACATAAAACTATTCTCAGTCATACTTGCTCTGTAGGATTCAAAGTGTCTACCATGAAACTTTGGGCGGTTGAAGAATGAAACAGCTTGAAACAGATCACCATCATCCTTTAGTTAGGTCAATTGGAGAAACATTTTAGAATTTTGAAAAAATAAAACATAGCTTACCCTTTCCTTTCGTAGTACTCTCAAATCACTCGATATATGTGGTATTTTTGGATCTTTCACCAAGGCAATGATGACTTTGCCTTCCTTTTGCCTACTTCTAAAAGCTTATGTGGAGCTCAGGTAGGAATGCATATAAAAACATACTTGTATTGCATATATTGTAAAGTCAAAATAAGGATCCGAGGAGAAAAATGTCATACGCTTAGATCAAGATGTTGAAAGCTCTAGTTTGGTTTTGGTAAATTGATGAAACCCTAAGTGCTAACCTAGTTTATCAAGTGATCATGAGATAGGTAGCACACTCCAAGTGATGAAGCAAATGAAGATCATAGCATGATGATGATGATACCATGATGATGATCAAATGCTTGGACTTAGAAAAGAAGAAAGAGAAAAACAAAAAGCTCAAGGCAAAGGTATTTTTTGTAGGAGCTGTTTTTGGTGATCAAGACACTTAGAGAGTGTGATCACATTTAGGATTGATAGCCGTACTATTAAGAGGGGTGAAACTCGTATCAGAATGCGGTTATCGAAGTGCCACTAGATGCTCTAACTCATTGCATATGCATTTAGGATCTAGTGGAGTGCTAACACCCTTGAAAATGTTTGTGAAAATATGCTAACACTTGTGCACAAGGTGATACACTTGGTGGTGTTGGCACATTTACAAAGGAGGTGGTGTTTGCAGGGTTAAGATCAGTGTTTTCAGGAAAATGGAATGCCTATTTTCTATGGCGCCGGATGCAAACTCTTGTGGTTGGCACGTTGAAGCAAGGGTGAAGAAGACAGAGGAGATGCCGGCATCGGTCAAGTGACCGGACGCTGGATCTGATTGCACCGGACGCTGGATCTGATTGCACCGGACGCTGACTGCCTGCGTCCGGTCACGCTGACTCGGCGGTACAGTGGCTAGGGTATACCACCGGACGCTGGCTGAGTCCAGTCGAGGTGGACCGGACACGTCCGGTCAAAGAAAAATGGATTTGGACCCTTACTGTACTCGACCGGACGCTGTGGCTCCAGCGTCCGATCGATTTGACCGGAGCGTCCGGTCAATACTTAGCCATTAAGATCTGACGGTTCAGTTTTAACTTGGAATGACACGTGGCAAAATCAGTGGACCGGACGCTGTGTCCAGGGTCCGGTCAGTATGACCAGAGCGTCCGGTCAGAGCGCGTTTTGCCCAGTGAAGGGGTATAACGGCTCTATTTGACTGGGGCTCTATTTATAGCCCCATAGCCGGCTCAAGCTCTGACTCTTGGCATTTTCTATTGACATAGCATACTTGTGAGCTTAGCCAAAGCCCTCCCACTCATCTAGATCATTGATTCATCATCATAGTGAGATTGGGAGTGAATCCAAGTGCATTGCTTGAGTGATTGCATCTAGAGGCACTTGGTGATTGTGTTTCACTGCGGATTTCACTTGTTACTCTTGGTGGTTGCCGCCACCTAGACGGCTTGGAGCAGCAAGGATCGTTGAGTGGAGGAGGTGATTGTCTCCGACTCCGATCGTGGTGATTGTGAGGGGTTCTTGACCTTTCCCCGGCGGAGCGCCAAAAGGTACTCTAGTAAATTGCTTGTGGCTTGTGTGATCCTCATCTTGTGTTGGTTGTGCGGCACCCTATTGAGGGTTTGGCGAGTGATGCCAATCAGCGCATGAACCTCCAAGTGAGTGAATCGCCACAACGAGGACTAGCTTGCCGGCAAGCAAGTGAACCTTGGTAAAAATCATTGCGTTCATCATTTGATTCCGAGGTGATTGGTCTACATTGGTATTCATTATTGTGATTGATTGGTTCCTACCACTACACGGCGGTATAACTCTCTTGCTCACTCTTACATTACCGCAAACTAGTTATCAAGCTCTTTAGTGTAGCTAGTTGTGAGAGCTTGTTTGTTTGATTAGTGTTGCTCTTTAGTTAGTCTTTAAGAGCACACTAATTTAGCTAAGTGTCATAGCTATTGTGTGGACATACACTATTCGAAATAGAATTGTGGTAGGTGGCTTGCATTTTAGTAGGCTAGCGCAACACTCGCTTCGCCGCAAAATTGTCTAACACATTTTGTTAAGTGTTGTTGTAGAATTTTATTAGGCTATTCACCCCCCCTCTAGCCATTAAGACCTTTCAGATGTGCATGTGCGTGGATGTATATATGGTGGCTATCCTAATTCTACTATGCTCCTTAAAACATATCTCTCTTATTTGAAACTTGAAAAACACTTTGCAAGGAAACATAGGCTATCTTATTCAATTCATTTTTCTTTCCTCTTCACTTTTTTTCAGGCGGGCATCTAAGTACCCATTATTTTAGATATCTCGGACACTTGTCCATATTTTTTCAAAACTCTCTTTTCTCTTTTTTTTATGAATAACTTTTGCATAGCCCATGCCTCCTTTTCTGCAATTGGAAACTTTTCAAGAGAGACATTTACAAGAACTTGGAGCATTTATCCTAACAAACATTTTTGTGTCTATTCCCAGTGTAGGAGTAGAGCATTTTTTGGGTGGATGGAAAACATGTTGTAGCTTACTTCTAGTGTAGGAGCAGCAGATATATGTGGAGTGTACGTGATCTTGATCTTGAGAGCATGATAAGTTTCTCAACAAGGGTCACAAGGTTTGACCAAACTCAATACAATGACAAGCAGTAAATGTAGAAGGTTCTCCTAGTCTCTATGTCATATTTGGCTCTGGTGGGATAATGCTTACCACAAAGGAGAGGTGTAGCTATTCATTTTAACTTTTTGAAATAAAATTCTCCAATAACAAGACATCAAGAATCAAGTTCTCATTATTCTACTATATCTCATTCCACAACAACTTAAGTAACATGGGGTCTCTAATAATAAGTTGTCAACAGTAGCAAGACTTTTAGAAAAAGTATTATGCGAGTCTATCCTTTAGTCATGATTGAAATAATCTTTTCTCATATTTTAAAGTTGTTTTATCAAAGGATTTTCAATTCAGTTCGAAATGGAAAGCATAACATGTGAAAATAGAACATATGGGTCACGAACTTGACCGTGGATGAAGCACGGGGCGAGGTGGCAAAGTGATGGGCTAGGCGGCCCATAGGAGAGACCGGGCGGCTTGTCTCGAAGCCCATTCTGGTCCATCTTTGGTCGACGTGGTCCTTGGTCCATTACCTTTCTAATTTCGCAATTTGTGCGATCAAATTCCATCTTGTTGTTGTAGTGTGCTTTCCCCACACTTGTTTCCTGTTATCCTCTATGCACAACATGTGGAGACAAACACATATCCAAAAAGAAATAGAGAGCAAGTAATAATAACAAGATTCCATTGATATTATATGGCACTTTATTATGCAATCAGACTAAACATAAACTTTTGACTAGCTAACACAAACCTTAACCAATCTAACAACTGAGCTAAACGATCAACCTAAACACCTGACCTAACCACTCGTGCCTTATCATAACCTATCTCACTCTTACTTCCTAGGTTTGGTAACATAACGATTTAAAACGTTTACATCATGTTGTAAGCTCTTGTGATGAACGTGTTCTTCATCAATCCTCTGCTCAAAAGTATGGACAAAATTGGTAAGATATTCAATCTTCTTCTACAACAGTGCCATGGTCATCCGTGGGCGCTTCTCCTCATTCTCTAGAACAGCTGATGGCGCCCTCCTCTTCTTCTCCTTAGGAGGAACAACCTTGATCTGCTCTAGCATAGCC